GATCTCCGGACATCACTTGTTTATTTAGTGCAGGATTTATGGTCAACTTATGCGAATCTCGAAGATATTGTACAATATTGCAAAGACAAGATTAAAGACGAACATTATCAAAATTTAATTATAGAATTGGAGAGGGATATGAGAAGTACAGCTGAAAGACTCGGTTTGATGGTACGTATGTATGGTCTTAAAGAAAAAATTAATTATCAGCCTACAAATCTGGAATATAACACTAATTATGTTATTACTGAGTTTGTTCCACGTGATATAAAATATAGAGGTAGAGAATCCTTATCGTCACATATGAAATTCCAAACACCACGAAGCGAGTTTCGTCAAAGATTACGTAAAAATGAATTCTTTCTCTAATATGCTGACAGTTTGTATGGATCAGAAAATTATATATGAAAAATAACCAATAATTCGCCAGAGGTTAAACGCCTAATTACCCATTCTCTGCTACTAAATAAAATTATTTGTAAACCATGCTGAATGATTAGGATTAATTCCGCCAATCTCTCTGATACAATTACTGAGCACAGAAAAAAGATCATTCATAATTATTCCTCATCTTCAACCTCAACTGAATTCGGCTCTGAATATTCTTGCATCGATGAGAATGAAATACGTACACAAGTTTTCGAAGCAAAGAAGCGTGATTAGTTATCATCATAAAGGCAGAATGGTCTTGCTTGCTCTGGAGTCTGCCCTTTTTTCCGATAATTCACTACAACGTAATTTTGCACAGAAGAAGTATGGTTGTCAACACTATGGTGAAGTGCTTCTCCAGCGATTGTCATAGCATGTGCTAAATTTTGCGCTCCATGCATCACTACAGCATATACAGCTCCTAATTTACGTAAATATTTAGGAATTAAATCATAGTCTTTTAAGAATCTATTGAACCACTTAACTCCTGGCTTACCTGGATCACCCATTCGACCAGAAGAAATAGCATTCTGTACCCAAGTGAGTAGTCCTTTAGCTCGTTCTTGGTTCTTCTCCATAGATTTAAATTTTCTAGGTATATCTGGCTGGCCTCGGTTCTTCGTATAACCCACCACTCCAGAGTCTGTAATGCGTAAAGTTGTAAGTTCAGCGGGGCGTATAGAAAGCATTATCATAACATCTGCAAGAGCTTGTAAATCGGGCGGAGTAGAAATATCATATTTATCTAATCTTTCCTTAACTGATTCTAATGTAAAATAATCTGGATAATCAATTCTTTCGAATGCCTCAACAAATTTCCGTCGATTCTGCTAGATTTCATTAGCTTCTCTTGTAATTTCAGGAAATTTTGTAGCATCGATTATCTCAGATGAAACACCGAGATTTCTTAATTCTCTTCTGAGTTATGAAAGACGCGATGAACCAGCATTAGCATTTAATGCTGATAGGACTAAGGCATAAGCTTCAGCTCTTATATCCCTAATATTAAGCTTATCCCGTAAAAATTGATGCACCATCTCTCCGATAGTTTCTTCTGAATTTTGTGGAGTTAAGTCGGGAACTTAGAAACTATCGGAGGGTGTAGTTGTTCTATAACTAACTTCAGCAAGATTTACTGTAGAGCAGGGCACTTTATGCTTGACTTTAGCTTTACCACTTCTTTGATTAGGTATTAATATACTTACTTGTTCATTGCTAAATTTGAATCCATCCCGAAGACGCCTTCGTGCTTGATTTCTTTTTCTATCATCTGTGAGATTCTCGAGAAACTCTGAGGTGTATTGACTAAGTTTAGACACACTCGTTTTAGAGGTAAGGTTGTATTTTTCAACGATTTTAGTTGCGATGGCTGACATGATCTAATAGTAGGTCGAATAGGTTATGAGTAATTCTTTAGATTATATACACTATAAAAATATTTTTCTAAATCGAAATTAATTACGCTTTTTCCTCCCATGCTTGGAGGCACGAAGTGTCATTTCTCCCGAAATAAGCTCATGATTCGAAGAAGAGGTAAAACCTCGAATTTCCAATTCATCACCTAAAGGCTTGCAAGGTAATAGATAAATTTTTAGTATATATCATTTTGGGCAACACAAAAATCCCTTCTGTGATATAATATAGCCATGGGGTCAAATTTTTCCAATTGTGTTTTTTAAGTGACACAAAAACCCCCTTTGTAAGATATATCATGGATCCTCATCGAATAAATACTCATTTTAACAGATATCAAATAGGTTCTGAGTATTTTGTGAAATAGAATTGGGGGAGTTTTCTATTTCATCAGGTGAAAGTTTACTATATCCATAATGTATATCCTCTCCATTTTCATAAAAGGGACCTTCTCCCGTTTGGTATGGTGGCAACTTTGGGGCGCTTTCTTTATCGAATGGACCTACTAGATGATAATGGATTCGTTTATTGTTAGTAGCTTTAAACTTTATCCTATAAGTTGCGGAAAGTGCTGAATTTAATAAACCAAGTTTCGCTTTATCTGATTTTAATCCAGATTTTTTAGCACTACGAGACGCGTCTGTATTATCAAAAACTCAGGCCATTTTTGGTACTAAATCTTGGAGATACTTCATAGACTTAGATGATTCTAAACATGATTTAACAATATCAGCTGTATATCTATCCTGATCATCAATATCTTTAACAGGCGTATACGTTTTCAATAATTCTAGGCAAATTCGATGTTTCTCAGCTCGAGTGACAGTTGTAAGTTTATCATCTCTAAAATCTTCACGTGTAATAGCCTCAACAGCTGTCTCATTATTAATACCAGCATCACGCAATTTTCGGAAAGCTCTAAACCACTTCATATGGTTGGGATTACCATATTCTGCAATAAACTCCTCGGTTAAAGATTCGGATGGATGCTCATAACACTCTGCTATATGGTATCGCCTTAAAGCATGTATTTCATTTAAACTTTTTTTGGAGCTGTTTTCAAGACGCTCAGCCATTTCATGATCGAGAATATCGGCATTAGCAATATCTGAAATCTCTTCTGCTTTAACAATAGAGGAATACACTCTTACTGCTTTTGATAACGATGCATCATTATTTTCAGATTTAGGGATTGACTCCATTATAGAAACTATCATACCTGCCTTTTTAAGAAAATCAACCATTCTCCAACCAAATAGCCGTTGAGATCGAAATTTTTCTAACATGAAGGCCACCCATAATTGAATGGTTGGTACATCTTTATTTTTAATAATAGTCTCGATATTTGGAAATACCCCCTTATTCTGAAGTTCTTTGGGGAGACATTCGCGTTTTGCTTCTGTTAACTATTGAAATAACTCCTCTTCTGTGGTTGGGGCTCTAGATGCCCTTTGTTGGATATAACATATATAATCCTTAATGCATCGCATACGGAATAATATCTGATTCGTTCCAGCATTGGTTTCTATATAGCTAGTGAACAAACAAAATGCTCGCTCAAATTTAGAGTAGGTACAAGAAACTCCTATTTTTAATGTACTGGTGTATGCAACAAGGTCCACTTCTTTCCATGCTTCTTTTACATTTTTAAAATCTTGAGTTTTCTCTACAGGATTAGACCCACCATAATATTCTTTGATACGTAGTTCTGGGAAATCATTTCTAAGGCCACGAACAATACCTTGTACATCTCTTCTTTCATGACAGATAAGTGATGCACTTCTTCGCTCTTCGAAAGGTAATGATGACATTTGTTTACCCCAATCCCATAACTCAGTTAATACAGTTTCTCTATCAGGGGCCAAGCGGAATGTTTTATCTTTTTGGGGTTGATATATATTATGAATTACTGTGAATGTTTTATTGGGTCGGAGTGTTTTAATCCATTCAATATTACAATCAGTAAGATCATTATCTAACGCAATTATCCGACTTGCATTATAAATCAATTCAAAGAAATTGGAAAGAGATAAGTATGCACCCTTAAAACAACTTTCAGTTTGAGCAATAATTGATACTATTTCATCTAATATTAATATATAAGGGGTTTTTGGACACTTGCATTTTTCACGACATTCACATTTATCTGTTACTCGATGCAAACTCTCTACTTGACATACCACTCTTTGATGTTTTGATAGGTGTATAGGACCATCGATATCACAATATGATTCAAGATTAAGTCTTGTAGTAATAGCATTAGAATAAGAATGTCGCGTTGACACTACAAGCATGCTTACATTTTGGGGGGTATTTAATTTTTCTAAAGCATATGTTTTTCCTGTCCTCCAAGGTGATCCTACATAGATATCTGGTATTTCTGGTAAAGTTTTTATATATTGATCTTTATATGCCATTGTAGTAGTTAAAGAATCATTAATATTTTGATATTAGGGTGGTATGTTCAAAAAGGGTTTTGGAAACTTAGAGCTCTTTATTTTATGAGAAACAGGTGGTGTGGTATTATTTTTATTTTTTTTGCTGGATTTTTTTTGTGATAGATGGGTCATTGTAAATTTCTCCTGATTCGTCACGATTTTGCTGGAAACATTTCACAATAAATGAACTATTATCATATGCACGACCAAACCACCGCTGATTCTTGTTATGTGTGCGATTGCATAGTGAACATTCTAGATATGTTTTTCGATTGAAATATACATACCATTGAGAATTTTTTTCTTCGATATCCCAACCACCAAGATAATCAGGATACTTCTGCAAAACTAGATTCGCGTATTTTTTTAACACATCTTGACCCACGATTATTTTTTTCTGATTATTTATTTTTTCTACACTAAGTATGCGAGGTCTTACTTCGAATCCTGCACTAGCAGGTGGTTGAACTCTGGTGTCATTGAGATCATTCCATCCATTATCTAGTGAGAATTGAAGTATGCGCTTCATACGATCGTTTTTTGCAGAACCAATGAGACGAAGATTAAAATTTCGGCCAGGCAATCCCATATCAATAAACTTACCATACTTTTTTCCTGTTAACTTATATACCAATTCTGTAAATTCTTTGAGTTCTAGATAATCAATAAGTAGAGTTGGGGTATATAGGAGGTGATAACTGCATTTATTATCATCAGATGATGTAGCAATTACTAATCCCTTAAAAATCTTTTCCCAACTACAATCAAGAATTATATACAGCGCTCTTATAAAGAAAACACAGATTCGAATGAAAACGTCTCTTGCCTTTACTTTCTCAGCTTCCATATCCCCTAATGGAGCGTCAATATCAATTACAGGTCTCAAAGCTCGTTGTCCGTTAATACATTCATGTACTCCAGGGACTCTATATACTTCAGATATATCATCTATAACAGAAAACTTTTTATATTTACCCTGTTCTACCTGGATAACTAATTTATTTGCTAACTCCTCTCTTTTATATGCATCAAGTAGACTGATTCCTTCTTTTGTTCCGTAATTAGGTAAGAGATAATCTCACAGATGTA